AATATTATATTCAATCAATTTATTGGACAAAATCGTAAGCTACTTGTTTTCTACATTTATTATTACTATTATAATTATTATTATCATCTTTCGTTCGTTTAATTGCAAATGATTATTTTGATGACGAGTCAGACAAGAAATAATAATATTACTTGACTGTTGATAAAAATTCTTTTTTACCATTCATGCTTATCTGATGCAACATTTTTTTATTTTTATTCATGGTTATTATTATTATTACCACCATTACTATTACTAATTAGAATAATTAATTATTACTTTTATATCTAAATGTGAATAGTAAGTAGAACAATCAATAATAAATACAGCATGTTTGGTGAATTGAAATTTCTTAAGTTTAATGATTGAGCATACATACGAAGTCGACTATTTTATTGGTTGACCATGACAATAATACCTCGTGATTGAGAGGAATAAAATAATTTTTTTGGCGTTAACACAAGGATGGATAAAGTCAATATGTTACAAAAGAATTACAATTTATAAAGAGAATAATGTTACTTGGATTGCTCCCACATCTATTGGACTAGGATATTACTTACTAAAAAAATAATAATTGAAACATATAAGTTACCATTCATCGCATTTAAGGGAATATGATGGAAAGAAGTTTGGTTTGGTACAAAGATAGATTATGTTTTTGTAGCAAGGGCTTAGATGAGGCGAAAGACTTAGAGATGGAGGGGATAAATCATAACGGTTTGATGTTCAAGATGAAGCATTCAAATAAGTAATTTCTAGATAAGAACCTTTAACCAAAAGATTCCCGGTAAATATGTAAATATGTGTAAAAATGTATATTAATACATTTATTTGATGAATTAAAATTTTAATAATTATAAAGAAAGATTATTAATGGTTAATCATTATAATTATTTTTTTAAAAAAAATACCGTAACTCCTATATACTGTATCTAAATAAATTTTTTGATGTGAATGTTTATAATAAACAAAGTAATAATTTGTAATTATTCCTATTATAAAGTCATATCTAACAAATTTAATAATATCTACTTAAATACAAATAAATTGGCTAAATATTTTAATGTATTCATTAGAGAAATACAAATCATGAGTTTTTAGTTCACTCTAAAATTATACATTCCACGTAATGTGGTATAATAATGAATATCAGCTCGATCGAGATAATTTACGATTCATTAGAACAAGCGTAACGAGGGATTATTTTGATAATATGTTGATTAGAGAAAATCTAATTCCGTTTGATATTTTATCCTGAACTGAGTCATATGACAAAAAACAACTTTTGTTTAATTTTATATTTCGAATAATTTAGTCTACTTAGAATACTATTTTTACCTAGATTAATGTTGATTATAATTCAATTGATCCTATACCATTGGCAAATTTAGATTGTATGTTGTGAAGTTTTTCATTTATTTAATCACATATACAAGACTCTTTCTTCAGAGTATTTATTTCCCCCGTAGGAAAGCATCAAATACAAACTAGTTCTTTAGCTTAAAACTATGTCTGCAATCTAGTCGGTGCATTGGAAGTCACAAAGTCTCACTCTTTGAGCGTAACTGCTATCCTAGACACTTCGCTAGTGATATCCCCTTCCTCGATAGAAAACCCTTAGCTGGCTAAGAACTTAAATAAATCCCAGTTGATGAAAAAACTTTTCAGATGGTACTAAGTAGGCATGTTTGACAAACACTTTGCAGGGCAAGGAATCCTTTCGTCAAACCGTCGTTAATTTCGTCACATTTGACGAAATGGACGAAATTGACGAAATTGATTAAACTGACTAAACTTTTATAACTGATGATCAAAAATATTGGTTCTATATATATCAGTAGTGATGTCACCAAAAAAATGATTTAGATTCGGAACCTTTTGTCTAGTGATAAGTTATCATCACGATAAAATAATTACCATAGTAAATATCCAATGTTGCTCTGAATTGCTGTATAAAATCAGGATATAACACAAACAGGTAAATTATTAGAACCTTAGTTTCTCAAAAGTGTACTTTGAGTAATTACATATGATCAGCTATTTGCCCATCACTACCTTTGATGCATGATATTAATATTAATATATTGACTGAAATGTTTGCATTATATTTAAAAACAAATCAACGTATAGGAATCAATCGTCAGCAATTACTGATTTGATTAGCTAAATCAATTTCTCCAATTTCTTCAGTTTCGTCATTTGGCGATAAACATTAATATTAACCCCGTGATATATAATTTCATTAACCATTCGCTTGTCGGCATTATTACTACTAATACTATCCTTGTTATTATTATTATTATTACTATATATTAATATTGTTATTATTATATCCAGCCATTATTACTATATAAGGATTATTTGTTTTATGAATTTGAGTATTCGAATTACATTGAAAATTCATTCGAATAAACCGAATAAACAAACGAAATGAATAATTCGGATAAAAATTTGTATTACTACTACGAATAAATCTTTTACTATATTTATTTATATCCAGAAAAAACTAACAGTAATTGTTACATTTAATATAACAGAGAGAAATTTATGATATTAATTTTAATAGGTTAATAAACTATCACAGATTAAAAAGTAGCTTCAATTTAAGCAGGTCGCAACTGGTTGTAAAATTTCAAATCAATTGCAGATGCCAACTTTAGAGGAATGGTATTAACTATTTTTTGGTAGACTTGTAAAGTAGTGAAAAATACACATGATACTGTACATACCCAAAAGTTTCGGACTCCTTAAATTCATCAATTACGCAAAATACTACATAACATTCATACAAAAAATTTATATTTATTTATAGCTTAGATTTTCGCGAAACTATATATAAAATTTCAGGCTTTTAGCACCGATAGATCTCAAATAATAACAAATAAAAAATTTCTGATTAATTTTCGAAAATAAAAATTTTGAAGATCAATTTTTTGAATTTTTTGACGGATTTTTTCAACATCAACATTTAAATATATACATTTAAAATTTAATATTTGGTAGGCCATCCATTACTTGCAATGCATGCAAGCCTCTTCTGACTGTGTTTATTGAAACTTTCAAACCAGTTTTTTGATTGAGTTGATTTTTTATTACTTTAGCTGTTTTGTGGTTATTTTTCATGGCAATTTTTTTCAATAATTTTTGATGATCACTATTTAGTATTTTTGGTCGGCCACTTCGAGGCAAGTTTTTAACATCCCTTCTTTCTTCATAACTTTGTATAGTTCGAATAACTGTGGTTTTAGAAAAGCCAAGGATTTTACTAATTTTTGTTTTTGAAGTATTACCTTTATAAAGACCAATAATTTGACCACGATCAGCTTCAGTTAAATTAGTCATTTTCGTGTTGTTTAAAAATTTATCAAAAAAAAAAGATAATAGAATTACGTATAAAAAAAAATTATTTTGTTTTTTTTTGAGATTCCAATGATCTTAGACTATCACATATAAAAATTTCAAAACACATTTCTATATAGATTTTGGTGCAATTGTTAAAAAATCACTTGTCAAGATCTTTTATTTTCGAAAATTAATCAGAAATTTTTTATTTATTATTATTTGAGATCTATCAGTGCTAAAAGCCTGGAATTTTATATATAGTTTCTCGAAAATCTAAGCTATAAATAAATATAAATTTTTAGTGTAAATGTTATGTAGTATTTTGCGTAATTAATGAACTTAGGGGGTCCGAAACTTTTGGGTAAGTACTGTATTTATGAAAGTAATTGTTTTTATATTGAATTCATAGCTTACCTTCTTCACCAGGTAACAAATATAAATTAAATTCCAATTTTTAAATCTGTTATTAAGCACTCTATTTACCTAGTTTCATTTTTCATATTCAATGGGGTATCTTTATTAGATTAGTTGCAAGATTTATCAAGGAAAGAAGACATGAGGAGGATTGATATTCCAAAAGCAGCATTATCAAATGTTGTTGCTGCAATATGAACAACATGTAAACCGCATGAATTCTAATGCATTTGTTCCAGATTTTAATTGAAATCAACAACAGCCTCCATCTTTAGATCCTTACGTGTAACTTGTGTTATCAGTAAGTCAATATAGATGATGTTTGGAACCGGTTTGAATGATCCAAACGATTCTAGCACAAAAATAGATACTGTACATTTGCTGAACCATACCGATCTGAATCTTTCGTGTTCAGGATTGTAAGTATGGTTCCTCTTTGATACTAAAAATTTCTTCTTATCTTCTCTTGTACCTGTGTCCGCCATGATTCCATAAGATGAAAATTGAAAAGTGGATCAAATTTCTTTATTCTCCCTTTATAAGTTATTCATAATCAGATTATATTTCAAACTATTTTTGATGTTTATTTAACAGATTTACTCAAACATAATCTGCTTCATCTGTCACTACAGGACCAAGCTTGGAATCCTCCTTTTTTCAATTTTAAAATAATTGAAAAAACCTACAAATGATAAAATTTATATATAATGGTTCTAATGAATAATGAATATGAAAGGGTAACTGATTTCTTAGAAGTAGTGGCTTTCTGTTAACGCCGATTATTGGTTACACTTGTTAGCAGTCAACTACAGTCAATAAATAATAATTCGGTGATTGTAAATTAATAAGTTTACAAATTTATCTTGGTTTTCGCTAACTGCCTTTTTCTTGCGCCTAGAAAGCTTCAGCAAATCTGTAAGCACACTGAATAATTAGATATGGCCCAGTTTCTAAGCTCAAAAGTTCCTTTTATTTACTTATGACCAATTGCAAATTCTCTTTGGTTTATTTACAAAACAATACAAGTAGATTAACTACCAGTATTTCCAATTAAAATTTGGGCAAAACTCCACTAACCGTTGTTAATATTCAATGGATGTTAGTCCTAACCTTTGCCTACCCCATCAAAGCAAATCGCGTTATTAGCGCTTACCAGTTTAACCAACATTAGTCTCAATCTTACCCTTACTTATTCACTAAAGCAATAAAAATTGCCTTTTGCCAAAGCACTTAAACGAAAAATGAAAACAACGATTATATTCTTAAAAGTTTATTATTATTTATTACAGAGCTTTATTTTATTACGATATTAAGTTCGCACTTGCAGAATAAATACAAAGATAATGAAATATTAAAAGGTTTATTAGGATTGCCATAGAATTTAAACCCTACATTATTAGATAGATCTTGGTGGAAGATTTGATTCTTGATGTAAAAGAACTTGATAAATATTTGTGGTTAGGTGGTTTATTTGGTCCTTTGTCACTATTATTAATACTAACAATATGATCTTTATAATCAACAATTACAATATATAATAAACAACTAACAATTTTAAAGCTCCGAATAAACGAAAATTTCCAGTTCTTTATATTTAAAAAAGCCAAACCGAAAATTACAATTATGAAAGAAATCAAGATATTAACACTTTAATAACTCTACAAATATATACATCTTCGCATGATTTCGATATCACCTCTCTCTAAAATAAAGTTTGCACCTGGGTTGCTGTTTTGAATTTTCCCTGAATTCAGAGTTTTGAATTGTGATACACAGATTTAAATTTATAAAAATATAAAAAATGGTCCTATCTGCTTTCCAAAGAGCCAAAGAAAAAAATTACAAAGATGATTTTTATGTGGTAATAGTTACGCGACCACTATTATTTTAGAAAATAAAAATTATTTAAATTAGATACATTGGTAAAAAATTCAAATTTGACTGCAGTAAATGTTTGTGTAAAGGTGCACGATTTTAGTTAAAGGTCAAAATTTTGATAAAGTTGTACACCTTAACAAACGTTTAACTATGTTTATTTTCTTTACCAGTGATAGAATTCAACGTCAAAATATTTTAGTCGATATCATTTAATACTAATAAATTATTAAAGGGCATGTATACAATATTGCATTAATTAAATCCCCTTTTTCCAAAAAAAAAAAGGATCAGTGTTGCAGAATTGTTACGCGACCATTATTATTATTATTAAAATAAAATTTTAAAATTTTTTTTTACATATAACACGTGCCTACTGCGGCTTTTAACTGGTTAACGAATTGATTAACCGCCGGTTAAAACAAAACTTTAATCGGTCAATATTAAACGGTCGACAGTGCAACTTGAACAAAGTACCTATTAAAATAAATAAAAGAAATTATTAACGAATCTTATAAATACTGTCAATAGCCACCGGTTCGTGTTTTATATTATTCAATATGACTTCTTTTTGATAGGTCCACTTTTATTAGAAAATCTACTATTGTTTCTTTATATGTTACGTGTTTCTGTGTCTTATTTGGTTGCTAAAAGTCAAAGATATTATATTTCTATTTTGGAATTATAGTTGTGGTTTTTGATACTATCTCTTTATCTGGATTACAATTATCATCTTTGGAATGGAAATTATAGTCTATTTTTTCCACACCATAAAACAATATATCATTTACTTTATTTATATCTCCTTTTCGTCACATGACAAAAATAAATGTGACGAAATATGGTTTTTACACTTTGAGTAATTTGACGAAAGTGACGAAATCAACAAAACAATAAAATAAACCAATTATTTTGTAGATTTTAAATTATGGAGTAAATAAAATTCATGATGTCAAATTCTAATTCACCCAATTCACCAGTTCCTTCTCAATCATCATATAATATGAATTTGCAAACATTAAAATTAGATAATATACCTGAAAGTTTATTTAACAATAATCAAGAATTAGCTACAGGACGTCCTGTGTTTGATGTAGGTTACACTCCATTAAAATAGTAAATGAAGAATCATTTCAACAATCAATGATTCTACAGATTTTGAAGAAAGTTATGAAACAAGCAATAGATGTGAAGCAGCAATTCCTACTAAAATTTGTGTACAAAAATTAAGCATCCAACCAAGAAACATGATTTACGATGTAAAAAATTAAATTTTTGTTTTAATTAAATCTAATAAAATTGAATTCAATATTTTCGTCATCTTTATCACAATTTGACTTTACCCATTATCACTTTTCGTCACTTTCGTCACTTTTCGTCACTTTTCGTCACTTTTCGTCACATGTGCCCCGTTTGACGAATACTTTTTACACTCCAAAATATTTTCGTCGCCCAACCTTGATTTATTTATACTCTATTACTATCATAATAATTTTATTCGTTTTACCTCCCATTATCTTGTACTTTACTTATTTTTCTTTTTTTCAATTAAATAAGATGAATCATTGAATTCAAAAAGGAATCATGGAAGATGAAGAAAATTTCTTCGCACAAAGGGGACCATAGCTAAAGAGGAAGGAATAAGAGTTACAGGATATAATGTATATACACTTACGTTTCTCATAACCAACAAACAACAACAACCACGATTTATTTTTTTTTTTGTTTGCTTATTTCCAGTAGTGATTGGCAACCTGCAAGCAATTATACCCTCTTTATCCAGAATGAAATACAGTCAAACCTTGTTACAGCGGATGAACAGGACACATAATGAATTTTAAAAATCGTTGTGAATTATAGTTCAAGGTTTGACATAACAGTTAAAATAATATATACTAATACTGACGGACAAATTTTTAGACGCGTGGCACAAAGCAACAATTCAAATCTCTCCTTAATAAAATAAATTATCCACCACCAAATTACAAAAAAAAAGTACATCTTACCCTTTGCTTCATTATTTTAAATTATTCATAACTATTAAAGAAATGAAGATTAATTTATAATTTTTTTCTAAGAAATATTGTTTATGTATATACAAAAAAAAATTTTTTTTTATAATATTAATGAAATTTAGATATGTTCATCTTCAGGCAATAACGGTTGATTTTCGGTTGGTGTTAATGGATATGAGAAACATGGTGGGGGACGCATGACATTATTAAAGATAAATGTCCCAAGTATTAAACTAATAAATCCTAAATTAAAATAAAAGTATTAGTATATATAATTAATTACTATAATTAATATATATAATAATGATGATTCTGCACTTTATGTTTTAAATATTTACCAAAAACTTGTAACCAAGAGAAAACCTCCCAACCTAATACTATAGAAACCACCCAAATGAATAATATAGTACAAGTCTCAATAGTGGATCTTGAGGTGGCACTAATAGATCTTGTTATTGACAAACCAAAAAAACTGCAAAAAGCAACAGAAAAACAATTTGCAATCCCAGTAATCCAAATTTGTTGATAAGAGATGATTTGATTCCAACTGGTTGGTATATTAAAATAACCATCTGGTTGATGAACACCAATGGTAAAGTGTAATATGATCATTCCAAAAATCATTGTTCCCAAACCAAAAATTCCTTCATAACCTACAGCTTTCAATGGTTTGACACGATATATTTTCATGATTTTTTCCTCAAGAACAAATTGAGATGCTGTAAATACTTGTGCAAATACAATACAAAATATTCCTAAAATTGCATCTGATACATCTTTATCTTCTTGATCATTATTTGGTTTAATGATGCTATTATCATTGAAATCATCATAATCACTGCTAAGTTTTGGTGGAAATAATACACTACTCATACCAACAATTATTACACCTAATACTACAAGTAAAAGTGAAAACCAATGATAAGGATATAAATGTCTTCGAAGAAATAATACAGAAAAT